TTTCACTTTGTGCTTTCTCTCCAAACTCGCCATGCTGCAAACCATAAAACAGCAAAACCCTCATTTAAATAGGGTGTCTCCAACAGTTTGCACCTGTTGCCATTTGCGCAGTCACTCTTAGTAAATCACCCGCAAACCGCGGTTCAGCCCCACACGCAAAATTCTAGATTGCGCAGGCAAATTAGTACAGGCAAATTGGGATCTTAGTAGATCCGGCCCATTGTGTGATGGTAGTTTTGTTTTTCCCATAAACAAGAATAAATCATCTCCCTGCTCTCTGAAACATTGATTAAGGTTATATCGCCCAATTATTAATGTCAGAGAGGCTATTTATAGATTTTTAATGGATATCTATTCCAGTCCACAGCCTCCTCACGACTGCTGCTAACTGATATACTTTGTATAGGCCTACAGTGAGAACCTATGGGCAATTTAGAGTCGCCAATTAACCTGCATGTCTTTGGACTGTGGGAGGTGTAGAGGCAGATAATGTATTATTCTATATCAAATGTGAAAATAATGTCAGTTGCAAAATGTCTTAGAAACAGTTGATCAGATGTCAGTTTCTGCAATAGGAAGAACTCTGTATAAGGAGTTGTTTTTGAGTTGGTGAACTTTGGAAAAATCAAACAAGAGAACACAACATTTAGGTTAGGGTGACCTGACTGTTGGGACAGTTAGGTCATACGCCCCAACCTGTCTGCACATAGACGCACATACACACACATGCACACTCAAATAGTATAAAGGCATTTGGAAGTTGGATAAGCGGGGCTGTTTTTTGCTGTTTCTGCTATGTTCTTGGGTTGCTGAGAATATTCTGCAAGTAAAGTAATCCTGTTGGCTGTAACTTTTCTCCGTGGTTCTCCGAGTCTCTTCATTTCAGTGTTTGCTGAAGTTGAGCAATTTCCTTTCAGAGGAAGCTGGAGTACCTGGAGAAAACTTATGCTGACATTGGTAGAACATGCAAACTCTGCACAGAGGGCCTCCCCCACCCCAGGAACCCTCTTGCTGTGAGGCGACAATGCTAACCACTGCACCACCGTGCTGATGTAACGAAGACCTGCCAACCCGCATTCAGCCAGTTCATGTGAGACAGCTGTCACTGTTTGTTAGTAGAGACTCCACTCTGCAGTGTAGTTCATACATTTTACTGATACACCAGAGAATTACACAGTAACAGTGAGCTTCATAATTTGCCTAATTTCTAATTTCAGCACAATTGCTGCTCGCTTTGAGCTGCAGCAACATCACAACCACCTGTCAGTAGCGTCCACACACTCACAGCGGAGGAAAGTGAGGTGAGGGGTAGCTGAGGGCCGTGAACCCCAGAAAAGCGTCGGGGCCCGATGGTGTGGCTGGTCGGGGTCTGAAAGACTGTGCAGACCAGCTGGCGAGGGATTTCACTAAGATCTTCAATCAGTCCGTGTCCCACTTCACTGCCCCACTCTGCCTGAGGTCCTCTGTCATAGTGCCGCTGCCCAAAAACACCATTAACACTCTCAATGACTACCTTCCAGTAGCACTCACACCCATCAGTATGAAGTGCTTTGAGAAGCTGGTGCGGAGGCACATCATTGCCAGTCTACCACCGGCTCTGGACACACACCAGTTTGCCTACAGAGCCAGCAGATCCACGGAGGACACTATGGCTACAGCTCTCCATGCTGCTTTGTCCCACCTGGAGCAGCGGGGGAGCTATGTGAGGTTGCTCTTCATGGATTTCTGTTTGGCCTTCAACACTATCCTTCCCCACAGACTGGTGTCCAAGCTGACAGAACTGGGTCTCTTACCATCCATCTGCTACTGAATCCTAGATTTCCTGTCGGGCCACTCGCAGAGGGTTAGAGTGGGCCCCCATACCTCCGCTGCTCTCAGCCTAAGCACTGGCTCACCATAGGACTGTGTGCTGAGCCCCAGACTCTACACCCTCTACGCTTACGACTGTGCCCCCACCCACCCCAGCAGTACTTTTATAAAGTGTGCTGATGACACTACAGTGGTTGGACTCATCTCTGGGGGGGATTAATCAGCCTACAGGGACAGTGTGGAGTGGCTGTCCAGGTGGTGCGGTGATAACAACCTGTCTCCTTACACCACCAAGACAAAGGAGGTGATTGTCGACTACAGGAAAAATAAAACGGACATTCAACCACTCTACATCAATGGGGACTATGTTGAGAGGGTCTCGACCTTTTGGTTCCTCAGCATCCACATGGAGGAGGACCTGATCTGGGGCACCAACATCATGGAGCTGATAAAGAAAGCACAGCAGAGACTCTACTTCCTGAGACTCCTCAGAAAGAACCATCTCTCCCAGAAGCTGCTTGTGGCCTTCTACTACAGCTCCATTGAAAGCGTGCTCACATATGGTGTGGGTGTGGTACGCCAGCGGCACAACAGCAGAGAGGAAGGCGCTTCAGAGGGTCATCACCACAGCCCAGAAAACCACTGATTGCCCTCTCCCCACCCTAGAAGAACTTTATAGTTGCCGCTGTCTCAGCAGAGCCCAAACCACTCTCAGGGACCCAACACACCCAGGACACTCCCTGTTTGAACTGTTGCCCTCAGGCAGGAGATACAGGACAATTAAGACCAGAACAAACCAGTTCAAGAACAGTTTTTATCCCAGGGCAATAATCGCACTGAATGACAAATTGCACAAATGAATGCACAACCTTTTTGTTGCTGCTGCTAAGGGGATGTGCAATGGGGAACGTCAAGTGAATGTGAAAGTCCTATTATAGCTCTATTTTTATAGTTTTTAAATTATTGTTACTGTTTCTTAACATAGCTTTTTTGTTGTCTTTTAGACTGCAGAGGATGCACTTTTAAATTTCGTTGTTATGAAAATGACAATGACAATAAAGAATCTATCACCTATCTATCTATCTATCTATCTATCTATCTATCTAACTTCCCTCTCTCTTACCATTAACTATTAATTTTACATTGATTAAAAGTAATTTTACTTTCACATCCTTGTATTTATTATGTCCATCTGTACTGTAGGGTTATATGGTGGCAGAGGTGTTGAGGGTAGGCCATTGATCAATACCCCAGAAAATCTGCCTCTTTTTCAGAGCCTATGTTGGCAGGTATGTAGAGGTCAGAAGTGTTCTTTGTTTTTGTTGTGTTAGCAATGGTGATGTCAGTTTGATTTGGTTAGGTCAGAGCTATGGAGTATTAAATCAGCCATATTTTCTCACTCCATCTTAGCCTCTCTTACCCTCAGGTGTATGTAAACAACAAGTTGTACACTTCTTTTTAAAATACAAAAATGTGAAATTATCATATTGCTTATTGGCTATGAGAAACAGGTTATTGGTATCAGTTGGAAAAAAAATCCACATTGGTGCATCCCTAGCAGCAATAAAGTGATCTGTGACTTAAAGAGAATGTCCAGGGGCATTAAGTGTTTGGCAATGGCCCCCTACCTACTTCCTACCCCCCAACTTCCAGCCCCCTTGCTTGTGTCACACCCATCTTAGAGCTTGACCTTCATTTTTTCAACTACACACCTGTAAAGTTTTGTCTGACTGCATCTTGCACAGTTGTGACATTATCATGATGACACAAACTGTTCACAGACAGACAGACATATTCACCTGCCAAAATACTCAAAACAGCTCCTGTGGTAGTTCCTGCTACAGTAGGTGTCTCCAGGACTAAATTTCACCATGATTACACACACACACACACACACACACACACACACACACACACACAGACTCACAGAGTGGAAAAAATACCAGCCAACCATCTCATTATCTGTGGTCATCCACATTATGAACACAACATATACTGTAATATATATAATAAACTACTAAAAATACTCAACACCAAAGTCAGTCTTTTTTGTATTAAAATATAATGAAATGATTCACTTCATGACAATATACACACAAACATGCACAAACAAATATGCACAAATACAAATCAAATAATATTGTTAAAATTCGGTCATGTTCAGTTAGCCATCGTAGTCTGTCTGTTAATCTTGAGGGTAAAAAGATTTTCGTCTGGTCATCATGGCAGTGTTTGACCTCATTAATCTCAGTCGTATTGCTGCAACTATTTAACTTATCAGTATGAGATGATTTTTGACACCCTTAGTTTGATATATTAATGGTTCAAACTTACTGTTGAGGGAGGAGATAAGACAGGCTGTTAAAAAGCAATGACTTAGTCAACATGCTCTGCTTTGGACTGCTTACACTTTGTACATGCGCAAGAGCCACTACACAAACTGTGTGGAATCTGATGGTAGAAATGGGCCTTTACTCCTAACTTGGATTGGTGTCTTCTATTAATATGTAAAACAATGAAGCAATAAAGCAAATAAGTATGTGTCATAGAACTTATGCTGTTTATTCACAAAGTTAAAGGGCTGTGGGCATGGAGGGGTTGAGAGTTTTTATTGTGGAGGTTCATGTTTAGTGCTGGATGTGTTTTTAACAAAAGTAGCATTACGCTCCAGTGTTACAGCCCTTCTTCCAGACGTCTGGTTCAGTTCACTCATATCCACTCCGGAGTCTAAGCTGGTGTCTCGACTCTCGACTGGCCTTCGCCTTCTCTGCTGCTCTGACACTGCATAATGGATCTCAGCTGCAGGTTTGCCCTCCAGTGATACAAACCAGGCCCGAGGTGGCTGAGTTGAGTGTCCGCTGCCCCTTATCTTATTTAATGTCCCAGGGACCGACACTGACTCTGGGAGGCTGAAGTGACTCCTGGGTGTGTTGGCAGAAGTTGCTGCCTCAGAGCTCTCTAGAACCCCGAGCTGCTCCTCAGTTTCCATTGTCTGGTTCTGGGTGGCAGAGGGATCTTTTGGCAGAGTCTGGGTGAAGCTGTCTTTACTCAGCGGCTCAGCAGCAGCCCCCATGCGGGGAAGAGTGGCCGACTTGCTCCACTGGGGCTGCTCTGGCTGCTCCTCCGAATGGAAGAATGCTGGAGCGTGAAGGATGGCAACAGGCTGGTTGTAGAAAAACAAATTATCTGTCAAAGAGGCTGGTACTCTGATCTGACCTGCAGTTTCATGCAAACACATCAGATCATTCAGGTCAGTGTTAAGCTCCAGTTCGTTACCCTCCACCGTAATGGCCACAGCATTGGGATTAGTTATTACATTGCCATTGTGCATAGAAATAACAGAGGCATTGTGGCGATTATCCCCCTTTTCTCCAAATGATTGGTTCACTCCATCCTGTGGATGAGAGAAGTCTGCTGAAGATAATTCAAAGACTTCATCTTCACTTGTGGAGGTGGTTTGGTCTTTTCTCATCGTTGGTGGGATCTTCTTTATTTTAGTTTCACTGGTTGAACTTCTGTAGACAAGACAGAGCATTTGTCTCAATCAGTGCCAGGCTGATGAAACTGAGCAGCAGTTCATTGCACAGTATCACAAAGGATTACACAGTACAAATACAGACATTATATACCACAGCTGGATGAATAATAGTTTTGCTTTTGTAACTGGTCAGCAGTTTGTTTAAAAGCACTTAGATATCAGTAAAGCACCAAATAGTTGAAGGAATACTCCACTGAAAATGATAAAATGCTCATGCCATTTGGCACTGTTGCAGCACTCTAGATTGGTCTTGGTCTAAAAACTGGTCTCAAAACAACTTCTTGGTCTTGTCTTGGACTTGACTGCTTTTCTTCTCACTCATATCTCAGACAAAGAGGAATCAGGATTTATTTCAAGACCAGTTTAGACCACAAGTACACAGATATCACTACATTTCACTAAGTTGCTTTAAATCAACTACCTAAGATTGGACACTGTACAGACATATTAAGCTACCATAATACATTTATCATTCATACTGGTAACTTGTTTGTGTCATTCTATATATTGGTTTGCACCTATTTGCACCCTACTCTTAGTTTTTATATTTTAAACCTTACTGTTATCTAGTTTTATATTAGTTTATATTTACTATATAATATATTTACATTTGTTATACATTTGCTTATCAGTTATTTTAATTTAGTCCTTGTATACTGCACGATTTTATCTGCACTCTTCTAACTGTATCGCAGCTGCTGCACAGCAATTTCAATTTACCTTGGCTTGAATAAAATCTTTTCTTGTCTTTGTCTTGTCTTAAATCACTCCTGAAATATTTTCTGCTGAAGTGATACAGAAGTACTTTAGTTACCTGTGTTATGGAGAAACTTTGTTTTTCAGTCATGACTAAGGCATGAGTACTTGATATTCATATATTCTTTGGTGGGGTATTCTTTACCAATTAAGCATATTGATAACCTAAAAGTTAAAGATTTTTTTTTTTTTTCGATATGCTTGATATGCCTTCCACATAAGCTGGTGAGACATTTTGAGATTTGGGCTGCAACACAACCAGAAAGTATACTTTGAATTGTTACTCTGAGTATCAGCATCCCACAATTTATACTATACATGGACTAATATGAGATGAAAGCCTCTGTTACCTGCGATAAAACCATAACCTAACCAGAAGACAGATGACAATAACAAGCATTCCTCCGAGGATAACCATCAGGAGAGATGAATGGTGCAAGATGAAGTCCATGGGGATGGCAAGTCCAAAGAAACCTAAAGTATATAGATGGTCAGAAGACGAAGTTTGGATGACATATAAAACACTGGTGCAATATAAATGATTTACATCATTATTTTTCATTTTGTATCTTAAAAACATTTGTATGTAACAAATCTTTAGCTTGTTTACCCTGACCAAGGCCAATTTCAATGGATTATGACACTTCCTATAGTCTTATAGTTTCCTTAGTGTTCCTTATAGAAAAATTAAATATCCACAATCAGAACAGTTCCACTATATAGTAGGTTTTATCTTCATCAGATACATTTTTATTTAGAACTGTGAGATTGCCCAGTTACTGCTGAACATGCCAGGGATGGTAGTATGAAAAAATATAGACCTCTATAAACTGTTAGTAGTTCACACTGTAAGCAGTATCTTAACATCTTTGGGCACTTGCCTCTGGTGGATGACAAAGGTGCTGCAATCCAGTAACCAAGGTGAGGAGCTGTGAATGTCCACACGTGTTTTCCTTCTACTGACACCACCGTTCCCAGTCCTTTTCTCATCCATCCACCTAGGTAAGATAAACAACAAAACAAAAGCATCAGGGCTGTTTATTATATTATATTATATATATAATATATATATTATATATATTATATTTTTTAGTTTTTATTTTTGGTCACTGGTGCTTTTTTATGTGTGCTCATACAATAGTTATAGCAACACCTATTTTTCCACAATCCTTTGTACATAATCGTCTATCTATTCTTTAACTTTATTTGGGTGGCTTTGTTGTACTTACTCTAAGCTGTTATGGCTAATTCTGTGTAAGTACCTGAGAGCAATGCAAATAAAAATGGAGTCATATTCCTTCTATACTTGGTCAGTAGAGGTGATTCTGAATCCTGTCAGATCTTAAAATAAATGTGCTCGTTCCCTTCCAAAGACAGCTTAGGTTAATGAGCAGTGAAATTAATGAAGCATTGTATGATTAAAAAAAAAGAGGTCATTAGTCTTATCTATTTCACATTTTGGAGTTTACTACTTTTGTATTATTGACAGTTTTATGGACCAAAATGACCCCAAACTTCTGAGAATCAGAATGATTGTACTTCTTTCCTGGCCAAAAATGAGGCGAACATGGCAACACAACTCTAACCCTTTTAGACAAACTTAAATAAATATGTACCAACTCCTACACATGACATCCTGTCTGTGTTCTCTCTATACTGGTGGCACTAGATGCATTTTTATCTACCACTTACACATAATCTATTACTCTAAAATGAAAGAAATGACAGCGAGTTGGGGTAAACAAGGGATTGGGATTACAAGGTAGTCAAAACATAAATGAATTGAATACATATTAACACATAAACAATATAAATTCTACTTTTGTTAAGCTTATTATATTCACTTTTTGTTAGACAACAGCTAATATGCCTCATGTTATTTTGAAAATGAAAATTTAAGTTCATGTTCAAGTCTATTGTCATACACATAAAAGTACAGTGTGGATTCAATGTAATGAAATGCATTATGCCCTGGCTCTCTCTCAGCCTACAAAACCTACAAATAATACAATAAATAAAAACACATAACCTGAGAATAAGTGCATTTTGTCCAGTTGAAATACAACTGGGTATGAGCTTAACTCAAGAGGGCATATATATGTATATAATAAGTAATTCATAAGAACTTAATATTCTTCAAGCAAAGGCTTGGTAAAGTCAAAATTTATACCCCAAGGGGTGCAAACTGCTGAATGAGTGAGAGGTGGGGTTTACCGTCAGTTGCCTGCTGCTCATAATGCTGCCAAAGAGCTGTTTGCGTTTCTCCAAGAATACTGTCTCTGTCTAGTCTTGAGAGTGGGACACAGGAATGAAAGTTATGGACCTTCTGAGTGGGTGTCTAAAAGACCCTCCACATGTCAGGCTTTTCCCACCTTATATAAGATTGGTAGAAACTATTCAAATGACTGCAAACCATCTTCCACCACTGACTAAACAGACCACTGGGCTGATTCAAAGTTAGCTGGACATCAGAGTAGCATTTAACATTTTTTCATCTACTTGGAGGAAACTTCTGTCCATATAATTGCTCCTCTGGTTGATTATTACTGACTCAGCTTGTACATGATATACTCAACAGGGTAGCACTAGCCTCCTTATCTAGTCTGAACAGATAAATGTTACAACAGAACTTCTCAGAGGCATCTAACTGACACCAGTTCATGACACTAATAAGATATAAGCTCATCTTTTAGGGTTAACCTTGCCCTGCAGATGTGAAGTTGAGTCACACCGCCCTATGATCTTTCTCAAACTTAACGTAAATATAACTAATGCCTAATACTATAAAACTAAACCTATAAAACTAAAAGAACTACAAGTTGACTACAATGCTACAACTATGAAAATGCACGAGTGTGGCTTAGTAAAAGCCAGAGAGTGCTAACTAAGCTGAATTTATATTCAACCGACCTAACCCAGTGTAACACCATAGTTAATAATCACATTCGTCACTGTGTCACGTATTCAACTGCTTGTTTTTTCTACCTCAAAATTTCAGTGTTATTGTTAAAATTCTTAAACTATTTCAACAGGTGGACGACCATCCATCTTCCATGATCTGTAACTGCTTATCCTATTCAGGGTCGCAGGGGAGGGCTGGGAGCCTATCCCAGATGACACTGGGCAAGAGGTGGGGTACACCCTGGACACACTATCACAGGACTGACACACTCACATCTACAGGAAATTTAGCAGAACCAGCATGTTTTTGGACTGTGGGAGGAAGCCGGAGAACCTGGAGAGAACCGACGCTGACACAGGGAGAACATGCAAACTCCACGCCAGCTATTGGGTTCAAACCCTCTTGCTGTGAGACAACAGTGCTAACCACAACATACAGTTAACTATCAGTGTATTATGGGCTGGTATGCTAATGGTTTATTTCATCAATGGAAACTTGCGCCATTTACAAGTGAGCCCCATTTACGAAGCAACATTTCCAAGTACAGGCCGTGTGCATGCATCACTGTGACTTCTACTCACCAGTGGTCCGGTTGAAGAACCACGCAGGGACATTTGAAGACTGAAGTTCACGGCCGTCAGGAATACTGAGGCTGATCTGTATGGGCCCGCTCACATGTAACTCTGTGTCTCCTGAGAAGAGCTGCACACTGACAGCTGCCACCGGACTCAACTCTACTCTGACGTACCCTTGAAAAACAGAGAAGGTAATGCTTAAGAGAATATGTGGACTACACTAATTCAATTTATGAAAATGTCTCAACCAATAAGCTGAATTGTTCCACTGTATCATTATTATATTTATTGCAGATTCTTCTTTCTTCTTCTTTTTTGTTAATAAAATAGTCCCAGTGAAAAGTAGTACGTGGTCCTTTTAGCCCATATCTTTGTGTCAACCTGCATTTCTGTCTCCCTCAGTGCCTTTTGTGATACTACCAGTAGATGGCACCACATAAAAAATCTGATCTTACACAGGCTTTTACTTCATCTGAACATGCACAGTTACTTTTGCCATTTAGAATCTGCCACGCAACGCTTTCAAATTTCAGACAGATTATGGAAATACTGAGTATGACCTGACATTAACTGCTTTCAGAATGCTGTCACTGCAGCACACACATCTACCTGATTTACTGCTCATGATGCCCAACGTGTGAAGAAAGCTGCCCTCCTCTGACTGCAGCTTAGGAATGGTCAGGTAGGCTTTAACGGAGGTGACATTACTACTGTCAGTCAGATTCAGCAGGCTCTTGGGAAACTGGACAACCGGCTGAGACGAAGCATCTGCAAATAAAGGAACAACTTCAATCAATGCTCATGCTTATAATCACAGAGAGAGACAGAGAGAGGATGAGCAAGGCAGACACAGAATCAAAAAAAAAGTGTGACTTTACAATATATACAGTACCAGATGTTTTGCCAGTGATCAGGACGGAGTCATCAAAGAGCCAGATGTTCCCCTGAGTCAGAGCGAGTAGTGACATGGTCACAGATGAAAATACTAAAACAGTGACAAAAAAAAGGAATAGGAAAGATGCTAAATTAGTATTGAGTACTTCATTTAAAATGTCACTGTTTGTCCACTAGATGGCAGTGTGACATATGTTATATATTAAACAGGGGCCTGATGTGGGTGAACCCTCTTCTCTGGTGAAGGCATATCTAATCTTAGACTACAAAAAGAACAGCTCAAGATTCAGATCTTTGCTACTCACACACACTCCAGATGTGGGCTATAAAATGATCCCAAATAGTTTTGCTTGGGTGCTGCACTTAATTGGATGTTGAATGCAGTGGGGTGAAGCAAAAGTTGGCCTTGCAATGACAACCACAAAGTTAGAAATATCAGCAAAGAATATAAGGTTCAGTATTTACTGTGATTATACTTAAGTGTCCTAGTTTTTTTTTGGTTGTTTTTTTTTTTAAACTGCCTTTTTTTTAAAGGGTGAAATTATCTAGTTGGTTGAGTTCAGACTCAACAGGAGGAGCCATTGAACAGCAGATTTTGTGGACTGACAAAAAGAGAAAGAAGCTATCATAATGAAGTCCAGCCACTCAATGGAAAAAAAAAAATTCCACCAGCTCAGAGAAAGTGTACTCACTGACATTACCGTGATCGTGAGAGCTAATAATGAATAAAAAATGACACTGCATGAAGCTCATTATCTGTGGTGAATCAGCTTAACAATGTCCACATTGAGTACATACACACATTAAAGGAACTCTTCACCAACAAAATGACCATTTGTATTTCAGTTACTCACCATGTGTTACCTTGAATTTGTGAAGTTTTTTTTCTGCATGCCTCCACTGTGAATGGAGAAACCAAAAAAGATGAACACTCTTCATGAATTGAGGTAATCAGGGCCCGCGCTAATCAAAAGCTAAACTATATCAAAACATCTTTTTACAAAATCTCACACAGCCTGTGCAGTATAATCCAACTCTTTTTTATCATATTGTATACTGTACTTCCAAAACACATACATTTTTGTTAAAATCTTAGATTTATATTTAAAACAGGTCAGACAAACAGTCTCAAACATGGACAAGCAGTGCTGGCATACCAGCCTTTTGGCATATTTTGGGCCAGTACAATCGTAATTTATCAAATGTAATTATGTAGATATTTTTTAATGGCTGCGCCGGCCTTTAAAGCACGGAAAACGGCCCATTGATTATTTTTCTACACTGACACTGGGCTGGCCCAGTGCCGTAGGGCTGGCCCAATGAAATCTCTCAGCCCTTCCTCCTCGGCCCGCCCCCTCCCCACTCATTTTCTAAGTTCTCCTGAGTTCGAGTAGCTGGCTGTTGGCCTTGTGCATAGTGGTGGAGTGTGTAGCCTACTAATGTACACTGATGGATAAACCACCAAAGTGCAAGGGAGGTGCGGAGAAGCTACGGGAGAAAAGGCACAAGAATCTCCAGGCAGATGCAGCCAAATATCTGACATGTTTGCTATAAGATCTGGTGCAGCAGGGCCGTCCGCACCGAGTGCAGTACATCCCGTCACACCAAACATAAATGTGGACCTGCAAGAGAGTAGTTCTGGAGAAGAGGTGGCTGCTAGTGGAGATGATTCAGAGGAGGAGGAGGAGGAGGAGGAGGAGGAGGAGGAGGAGGAACAGAAAGATATGGCCCAGGAACAGATTGAGGAGAACAGAGTAGCCACTGCTGGCCCGGTAAGGAGTAATATCAGCAGAATGAACGAGACTCTTTTTATGTAGGGAGGGAGATTGTGTAAGGGTGTCCACCCGTCCCGCTTTTCATGCATTTGAGCATTTGCCTGCGTTTTTTTTGTCCCAGTCCAGCCCTGTGGACAAGTTAAGTGCTTGACCATGTGCTCTCCTTTGTTGTGTGTGTTTGGGAAGTACTGAGCATATGACTGGATAAATGAGGCTTGGATTATGTTGCATGAGTCGTGTGAGAGTTTGTAAATGGATGTCTAGATACAGTTTTGCTTTGATTAGTGCATGCCCTGATTACTTCCATTCGTGAAGAATGATAATCTTTTTTGGTTTCTACATTCACTGTCGAAGCATGTGGACAATTCAAGAATTCAGGGTAACACTCTGAGTAATTGATAGACATTTGGTCATTTCCCTTTAAATATCTTACTTGGCATTCTGTTGGTTTTAAAAGGCAGCAGTGTGCAAAGGTAACCATCCTTGCGGGCCACAATTGCGATTGGCATCGCTGTTTGGTAAGGTACATGAAGCAAAACACTGCCATCCTCTACAGTGAGAGCTGTGCTGATTCTAGTGTAGTTGATGTAGACCTCCACCACCGCCTGGCTCAGGTACTGGCGACTTAGCACATTGTTCACCTGGACCTTGAGGTTAAAAGCAGAGTCTGAGGGGAAAATAAAGATTGGGTTTAGTAAAACAACTTATAGTTGAGCATGAACGTTCATACAAGTTCAGGTTCACACATAATCAACAACGCATGATCAAAATAACAAGAATACCTTACACATTAATGCAGTCCTGTAAAACACCTCATATTACAATCCCATAGAATTACGCCTCTCTGACAAACTCTCAACAAAATGTATCAAAATAAGATCCACAGAGGTGATACTTGTTGCACATTGGCCTGCATTATAAGTTACTGTAAGGTGTTTCTTTTGTTTTGTCCACCCTTTTTTTATGCAGTATCACCACTGGCTTTAATGCTTCATCAGAATGGAGTGGGCTGCATTTCCAATTAACCCAAACAGGACCTTAATGACAGCAAAACAGGAAAAGCAATTTGCAGAATCCCTCGAGGCTATCAATCAATTAATCCCAGCAGAATTTACAGAGGTCGACACAAATACAAATGGTAAAACTGGGTAATTAGTTCAGAAAAGCCTGCATTCAAGATATGCCACACCAGCATGCAGACAGCTAAGTACAGTACATATTTCCAATAGTGTGATTCTCATGATGGAGTTATTACATGTTTTAAGGTAGGTAAATCCCATTTAGGGCCTAATGATAATGTGTCACCTTCTCTACAAACCCAATTAGCCACTTTCACACTGAGTGCCAATACCAAACAGTGAGTCAACAAGACTTTATTTCTCAGAGGTGTAGTGTTAGTGTTGCATAACAATGACTGAACGCTCAGTGATACCTAGCTGCTCAAAAAAATGGTTATGCATATACAAATACCCCAGCAAGGATCGATGTATGAGGGACATACACAAATGCATTAAAACTGCACTTGTTAGTATTTCTACATTAACAATAGGTCAAATGGCAATGTGTAAAGTGTTTTAGCCTCTTTAGCTAATTGTTTCAGTTTTAGGGCCTGCAACTTAAATGTTCAGTCTTACTCTCTGCTCTCATTAGGGCTATCATAAGCAATCTATATGCCATAGTTTTCATTCAGATATTGCATGGGGGGGACACATGTTAAGTGGGGGATGTGGGGGTTGTTACCCTGGGATAATTTGAGTGTCCAACACTTCCTCCTCCTTCTGGTGAATTTTTAGGAAACAATATTGTGCCTTGGTGGAAATGTCTATTTATATAAAGGAAAAACAAAATCAGATGACAACACAAAATATAAAAAATATAATGCAACATAATGCAGTTAGGCTGGCTGGCATTCTGTGTGGCCGACTTTTCTCATTTATTGTCTCTGCTGAGTCAGCACACCTGTAGGCATGATTCGTGTCCTTGGTTTGGTGACGTATAACCTGGACTTAAATAACTTGTGTGTGTTTCAGCAAGATTTCTACTCATGTTCAAAACTGCTCTTAATCGTGTGCAATATCTGCAATATTTTAACTCCAAAAATGCACTTTATACAGCTGCTGCTCTCATCTATTTATTTATTTTATCTGTTCTATTTTTATATCATTTATTGCTGCCATTTTATAAAGTTTGTGTTTTGTATTGTTTTGTTTTTTTTGTTTTGTTTTTCAGTTTTTAATATGTGCCTTGCTGCTGAGAGTAACTAAATTTGAAAACAATAACAATAATAATTTGCAAAACAATAATTTGTGGAAGCACAATGACAATAAACTTCCTTCCTTCCTTCCTTCATCTGAGGTGGAAAACTGAAACTAACTGAACAGCACAACAACACTTCTGATCAGCCATAAATCTCACCACTGTGTAGTTAACTGCCCACACACATGTTAACTTCACCATCTCTGCTTAAGTGCGTCTCAGCGCTGCTACCCTCAGCTTTTCAGCAGGAAGTACACGCACGGACACAGAGCTACAGATCAGAGGAATGACACCAAACTTTTTACAAGTCTAAATGACTGTGAGGGAGTAGCTTATGGACTGTGAGGAAATGCTAAACCATGGACATATTAGTGTTTGTTCTCAAAATATTACATTTTTTCCTCACAATATTATAACCTAATTCTCCAAATCTCTGATTATGTTGTTTTTCTTACAGTGGCCCTCATACTCCACCTTTTGGTTTATGTTACTCTCTTGCTGCAGCTGTATTAACGCAGCTTCTGCTGGGTTCACACCAGTCCTACCCCAGAAACTCCTCCAGCAGGAGCAGCCAGCAGCCAGCAGGGAGCTTCAGCATCACTGCTTCTTTGTGTTTTATGTCAGATTGGAACCACTGCTTTTGAGGTTGCATACTGTCCCCTACTTTACCGGAGGCATTGTTGTGTCTACGAGTTGCTTCTCAAAAATCTAGGCCGACATGTATGTGTATGCTACATGCAGCTCCAAACAACGGACAAAGTTAGTTACTAGCTGGTGACCATAGGGGAGCTGAAAGTGACAGATATTTCCCACAGGGCAATGTGAGCTTAAAGGAGAATCAATAATGGATTTACATTTGTCAGGTTGACATGACTCTAAATGAATGCTAATTGTGAACTGTAAATAGGCAACTGTGCTCTAACTGTGTTTACATCTCATTCTGCTGTCCCAGCTGGCCAATAAAATCAATTAATGCAATGCAATTTTAATTGTAAATTTTTCAAAGTCCAGTTTAGCATTCCCAACACCTGCAGTCATGAGAGTAAATGTGTGTGGACATACTGTGGACAACATTTATGACCATAAAAATCGATTGCACAGATCAGTCACAACTACTCCTGAAGCCAGTAAACAAAGCTTTACAGAAACTGCTCAGTACAATGTGTACTGTGTAGAGCTGCAAAACTCTGCTTACACTGGCCCGATGCCAAGGTCTCTTCCTTCACCTACTGCCCTGCTATAAATATTCCCTACTGATGTATACTGTTCCTATGCAGTCTCAGCCAGAGAGTGAGTTTTGGGAGCCATAAATCTCAGCAGCTGGCTCATCATCAACCCTCCACAGTTACAGTTTACTATCGTTATTTTGTGCTAGGAGGCCATAAAAGGACCTTATTGCACTTTTTATTAGTTGTTGAATACTGCAATATCTCTATAGCAGCAGTCTCACCGGCCATAATGTTGTAAGCATCTTTCTCTAACGGTGACAATTCGGCACTGTTGACAGCAGTGGGTCTGATTGCTCATAATCCTGCTGCTAAATGATCTGCCAGAGCTTTACCAAAAACTCATGAAGCCATGCCTTATGCTACCAGCTTTCCCAATATTTCAGCAAGTGCCCAAACCAGATAACCAGATCATCCCATATCATCGCCCCTAACAATTCCCTTTGATCAGGAGCAGACAAATGCCTAGAGCTGCCAGGAGTGCCTGTATTTTCAGCCACAATATGAAACAAACATCTACATTTGGCAGTGTGAGTGTCAACCCACTGGGACACATACACCAGTGCAGATGGACAAGAGGATTCTTGTTTTCGGAGAGGCTGCCTCCACTTTATGTGTGTTGTGCCTTAGTGGCCAAACATAACAGAAGGGGGTCACTAATGCTGAAGTGGAGGTGTTTCGTGCCAGAGTACTATAATCTCCACATTTGGCGAACTGAAGCACGCCACAAAGAGGTTTATGAAGTGGATTGAAATGGGCCGTCTGAGGCCGCAGAGGCAGATGAGAAATAGACCCCACGGTGTGCGATATGGCTTGAATACTATTATCAGGCACATGATAGCACTGGTGTCCGATAAAAAAATGTGTTTTCAAACCCTTTCTTTATGTACGATTGTTTGAACACTAAATGAAAAAGCTACATGCCGAAGAGATGAAGGCAGTAAATATCAGATTGACAAGATGTAATTATTGAAAACACCATATTTGTGGTTAAAAGCATTGAAATTTGCTTCAGCTGACATATCAAGCCATTTCAGCGACACATTATTAAAAATGACCAAAATCAGGACGCACAGGGAGGAGCGCAAACATGTTGATTGGTCATTTCTGTGAGACCACCAGGAAGCATAAACAGATGGTCCGACATGGACTTATCTCTGCTGACCCCCCACCCTCCCAACAAACATGCTTGTTTGTGTGTGTGCGTGTGTTGGAATTAGGCCATACATTCCACTGATGGAGGAAAACACAAGTGCACCCTTTGATATGTGGGCCAAATCGGCCTCAGGCACGAGTCAGCAATATCAAATTGAACAAAAGATGCTTAGGGTGGAGCTGGGTGAGGACTTAATGTCCGAACAACCGCCAGTCCTGTTGTCAAATAATTACAATCCTCCCCCCGTGGTAAATGATTAAATGTTTAAGCCGGTTGCTTTGCCCATTATGCAGGGCCGACAATGAAGATGTTAATCTCAGCATGGGAGAACTGACCATCTGGTTCCAGAAAGGAGGTGTTTTACCTACAATTGTATATCTACATTTTCTCTTTTTATTTAGTATAAGTTTAAAGTGGGCAGTCATTCCCATGAGAGCTTACTCTGTACAGAAGGGAGGCTAAGAGGAGAGGGTTTGGCAAGACACGACGCAGCGTCGGCAGGGGGTTGGGGAGGGTACAAGGGACAACAGCATGCTTGGGTGCATTTCCAAGTGTTCCAGTCGACAACACAGACTGGAGGATCATGTGATGACGGACGGTAATGTACTCCTACAGCAGCATGAATTAGTCATGAATCAGTTGATGAAAAGGGTCACAAATCCCTCTTTCAGCTCCTCTCCACCACTCCGCTGTGAACGAGAACATTGTCGTGACAAGTGCGCGCATCTGTGTGTGAGTGTGAGACAAAGAGACAGACTTTAGAGAGGGAGGGAGAGTATATTCTCTGTTTGAAAAATTAAAATAACCACAACTGGCGAACACATGATTTAAATGAAGTGATAAGGCACACTGAGTGTTTTAAACAGTCCTCTGAGCTGCCTTTTAACCATTCACGTGTGTTTAAAGGGAAATCGCACCTAAATTAAGAATTTCAATATTTTATTTCCTCGGCCGAGAAAAGTTAAATCAGTTTCTGTGAACATGAGCTACTCTGTCAAAGCCAGAAACCAGAAAAGTAAGTCTCAAATTTGTGATGTCATCAAGTATGAAGTTGTTATATCAGATCACCAGACTCCATTGACAAAAACAGTAATTTTACTTTGCAGAACACTGAAGTTGCTGGTCTACCGCATGTGTAATAAAGCGGAAAAAAAATATCTGAATATTACATTCACTTTCCCCAATTATTATTTTTTTTTTTAGGTGGTTAAATATGATTTGCTGCAGCCTTGTCAACAGCAGTATATTGCTTAGCTTCTGTGCTGGTATATTTGGTTTATCAAAGATGATAGAGAAGCAATGAAGTACATAAAAAACACAGCAGAAACAATAGATAGGTAGCATTACCATGTTAAACTATGAATCTGTTTGAGTTACAGCTAAAAATTACAACAGAAATGAACAAGTTTGCCAATTTTACATATCTCCCTAACTGAAATCAATTGCCTGTACTGAGGCCTGTACTACGAAGCCAGTTCAGCTTACCCAGGATATATATGGGTTTTCCTACCCAGTCACAAGCATGTTCTTGGCTGTTAATTACAAGCGACATCATTAGAGCTATGAATGAAGTAGGCTGCTTCATATCATATGATATGAAATGGTACGTGTCTGGGACACCAGTGGAAACAGAGCCCTGGAACAATAAAATGATTCAACTGATCTATAACAATATATAGGCTATTATATTTTACCTGACACTCCAGTCTTTCATCCATAAATACTTTTTTCTTCGGTGATGTGATTGGTCAGAGGTTGGAGTGTTGACAGGCTTTGATCCAATGCTCTAACACCTAACCTGCTGCTCCGGAGCAGGTTAGCTGTTCAGCATAAGTTGCCACAGCGGTTTATCCCAGAAAAGAGAGAACCAGCTTCGTAGTACTGAAAACCCAGAGTTAACCCTGAAGTTACCTCGCTAACTCCAAATCCTGGCTAGTAGTACAGGCCTCAGCTGTCTGCCAGGAAATGATTGCTGTTAGCATGACATCATGGTGATCTGGTCTATTTTGGCTGCCAAAAAAAAAAAAATTCTACTGTAGCCTTGAAAATGTCATTTTTACCAAATTGTGTGGTTGCACTTTTACCTGTGTCTTGATCTGTGTCAACACATAATAATAATAATAAAAATAAAAAAAGTTTGAAGGCATTCATTCTATTCTTATTTTACGCGCTGGTATCGGATCAGTACTCGGTATCGGCAGATACCTAAGGTCCAGGGATCGGAATCGGGAAGGAAAAAGTGGTATCGGTACATCTCTAAAAAAAAGACCTACCTAAAAAAAATGTAAAAAAAATCCATATACATAAGTCTTAAGTGTACGCTAAATTTGGAATATATTCACTGCTTACTTTAGACACTAACTGGTGGAGGCAGCAGTAGACCAGCAGCGCCCATGTTCTGCAGAGTAAAATCACTGTTTTAGTCAATGGAGTCTGGTGACCTCGAGAACAGCTTCGATTCCCCATCAAAAATGGCTGACAGTAAGGTAAAGTGGTGAAAGTATTCTAAATATAGCATACACTTAAATTGATAGATGTTTTTTAAGGTGGCTGAAAACTAACCAAGTGAGGCAGCGTTGCTATGTACATGCAGAAGGGTTTTCTACCCCTAAGTAATTGTAAATAAACACTTAGATTCAGTCTAATCATTGTCATTGGAGCATTTCCAAACTATGCACTTGATGACATCACAAATTTGAGTTTTAACACCCTAGTTTTGGGATTTAGGAGAGAGTTATTCATGCTAACTATATATTCTTTTAGATTGTCTTAGACTTTAGGAATAATATGTATGAATTCTGAAAATGGGTGTAGTTCACCTTTAAAACACTTTCTTTCATAAACATTTTGACCATCTCCCCAGTCACTTTAAAATGATAATATTGTAAATAATGCACATACAAAGTGATTAATTGCCGCCTTGTTGGTGATGCAGTAAGGGACAGATGGAGAAACCGTTACTCATGAGGTGACAGCAGCAAGCCCCCACATCACTTATTACTCATCAACAGATCAGTAGATTTGCGAGCAAATCCTGATACAGATGGTCTGGGCTGACTGACTGAGGATAACAGAGTGTATAATCTGTTAAAAAAAGACCTGGAATATGATGGTTGATGAAGTAGAAATAAAAGAAAATGTCAAAAATACCAATATTAATCCTTACTGTCTAGCTACAATGTAATTTATTTACATCTTGAATCCAAAATATCAAGCACAGCAATCATAACTGAAGAGTTTCACTGAAGTTAAAGTCGCCCTGTGATACAGTGAAGGCCACACAAACCTGACACAGCATCGAGCACTTGTTGGTGGTGCTGAAAGGGCTCTTGTCTCATGTGATCCCGGTTTGAAAAGTTGCCGTCATTGATATGCAGAGGCTGTCCGGTCGGAGTGAACTCTCCTGAAGCTTTCCCATTATTCCCGCATAAAATCAGCGCAGCTAAGAGACGGATCAACAGGCGCATGACTTTGACAAGGAAGCTGGTGATCGATTCGGAGTCACTTTTACTCGCCACAGGTCCAGCTTTCATCTATAACTTGTACACGGACAGAGACGGCCGCTCCACCGCCATCCTAACGAGTCTGCTGTCAGACTCTCAGGAAAACTCCTCCCCTTTAAGCTGCTGCGTGAGGCCCAGAGAGAGCTGCTCTGTCTATCTATCTATCTATCTATCTATCTATCTATCTATCTATCAGAATACTACTTTGAGTGTTACATTTATAACTTTTTATGGTTCATTGCTCTATTTCAATGAAGAAAATAAAATCATTTGGAAACATTGAACCTTGACACACATCAAGAAATGCCTACCTCAGTCCAATTGTTTTGATTGTCTGTTTTTGAATTTTAAATCCATTATCAGTTCAGTTATTAATTTAATGTAACCTGTAACTATTCATTCAAAAAGACTCACCAACTTTTATGCCATACTTCTCCTCTTCTTTTGCTGCCTGTTTCCTTGGTGTCATGTTGTCTACCATGGATGTGTTTGTATGATTGTGTGTATAACAATTATGGCAAATTCTGGACTATTTTGGCTGACATGGACTCACTACATCAGCTTTATTTTAAGTGACAAAATACTATACATATCTGCAATATTCCAGGGTGGCACACTAGTATAAATCATGATTTTATGGCACCTGGTAGCCTGAAAAGATGCTGCTTTTCCCACAGAAAAATATCACATTTTAGCTTAATGCCTATGTCCCATTTTCCCTGAATGCATTAAGGTACTCACTCACAACCTTTCCCATAAAAAGCCAAGTGTGTCGTTAAACAGTTAATAAAATGTAGCATCCCACAGCCATGTCTGTTGTTAAACCCTTATTATTACCAAAAAGAGATAATCAACATGCCTCATGGCTTCACTTGTTATCTCAGACCAATCAAAATGATTCATGTAAAACACATTTGTATGAGCAATCCAAAAACATGTTTGGTGATTGGCTGCTATTTTTTAAAGAGCCCAAGATGTAATTATTTATCCCATTTAACCTGATGTGCCAAATCACCTGACTTCACCCTATACAAATGTAAGGTTATGGAAGGAGATCCCTGTTTAGGTCAAATTAGAAATACAACAATTTACAGTTAAGAACGTTAAAGTACTCATTATGAGAAGGACTTAAGGATTTTTGTTGCTGATGCGTGTAAAATAAATTGTCTTTTTAATACGTTTATTTTTCTGTTTTCATTCTTTCTTTGTTTTTTTTTTCAATTATTTTTCATCTATTTCCTGATTGGCCTGTATTTATTCTATTAGCTTATGTAATTGCACAGTGTATTTTATGCCTTATGTTTGTTATGTTTGTAATGCACTTTGTCCTTTTTTGTTTTTAAAAGTCTATAATTGAGTCTAAAGCAGCAAAAACATTTCATCTTGGTAATTTTGTCTTCATCATGATAAGGCAGGGCACTGCAGTAGAGTTATATGTACACAAATATTATTGATTATATCAAGTAATTTCAATGAAATACATTATTCAAAGTAAAAAAAAAAGGTTGTAATATTTTCATAGTGCTGCTGTTTTTAGAAAAAAAGGAAACAAAGAAAGGGAAAATTAAACTTTTGAGGACTAAAATTACTTGAAAAGGTTTTTTTTGTTTATTTTGATTTGTTTTTTGTCTGAACATTGCATCATGTTTTAGAACCAGATCGTGTGTTTTGTTTGAAAAAAAATCTGCAAAATATCTAGTTACTAAATGTATTGGAACAAGTAAAAAGTACACTTAATTCGCCTCTCAAATTACAGTACATGAAGTACATGAAAATTGTACAGGTACACGTTACTTGAAATGTACTTAATTACTTTTCACCAATGAAACTGTATATATTACAGTAGTTCTAGAATCAGCTGAAACACATTGTTTTACTGTAAAACACAGTGTGTATTATACTGTCATACTGCACTATACTAAAAACACATGCATCAACTATTTTCCACCACTAGATGGTGCTAATTAGATGTCGTTTCACCAGCAGAAACACTCAACTTCCTGTTAGCCATTAATAACCCCATTAGTTTATTCACTTACATATTGATAAGAACTGATGTTTAACTTTAAAGACTGCACTCGAGGAATATGTTTGACTTGTACATGAACCTGTCAGTAGATGTAGTAGTGAATGAAAAAGGCTAAGCAGTGTGGGGTAGTAGTCACAGGGATACTGTCTGGTAGTGGTGATAACACAGCAGCTGTGATAGTGACAGCAACAACATATGATATCAGTGTTATCAGTAGAAGTTGTGATAATAATATTGCAGATTTCAGTTGGAGTTATAGATGTCTTTTTTTAATACATATTTATCTATTTATGGAAGCTTCCGGGTCTATTAAATGCATCCATTACACATTTAAAGGGGAACCACTTAAATAAGAATTCCAATATGTTATTTCCATGGACTAGGAAGGTTCAGTCAGTATTTGTGAACATGAGTCACTAAATCAGAGAAGCCTCAAATTTGTGATGTCATCAAGTATAAAGTCTGGAGCTGAACCACAGACCCACAAAATGTTTGTTTTCTTTTTTATGTCCAAATGAGCTGTATTCTATTGTAGTGTTCTCAGTTCTGAAACAGGAAAAGTACACATATACCAAGAATATTCCCCTGGGTGCTCTCAGTCTAGAACATCTTTCCCAATTCACTGTCTATAGACTGAATCAAAATGTTTATTTACAAAAAATTCTGGGTAGAAAATCCTTGCATCATGTACATACAATCAAACAACACTGAGCAAATGCTGCCGTAGTTAGTTTTTAGTCACCTAAAAAAAAGCCTTGCTGTCAGGCAGCCTTTTCAGGTGAGGAAACAAAGCTGTTAAATCAAATCCACCAGAATCCACTGACAAAAATAATTGATTTACTTAACAGAATGTTGAGTCACTGGTCTACTACAGCACTGACTGGTTAATGCGTAAGGTAAAGCAAAGCAAATATTCAAATATAGCGTACACTTACATTGATATGGACTTTTTTTAGGTGGCTAAAATACGTTTTGCTGCAGCCCTGTTCACAGCAGTACATTGTTTAGCACTTGTGCAGGTATATTTGGTTTATTAAAGATGATAGCAAAGCAACAAACTACCTAAAATAAGCACAGCAGATAGATTGGCTCAACATGTTTAACTATTTATCTTTAAATGTTATAATTCTGACTGAAAATGACAACAGAAATCAACAATTTAGAATAGAGAAGAATACAAAGACACTAATATGCTATGCTATGACAACAAGAAAACACCACTGTCTGAAATAATCATCAGCAAATGTAATTATCATAAATAAACTTTAAAATTAAAATTGCCTTTTTCATTACTACTGGCAGTTCTGTGTGCAGTTTGTGGCGTTGCTATATCCTAACAGAAGCCGTTACACGACTGTTGTCTATAGGTACCTGTACTGTCTCTCTATTTCATTACTATCAAATATATTAAAAAGTGAATGTTACTCAGGCTTTATCACTGTCAACTGTTCAATTTATTTTGGCAAAAAATGTGTGTACACTTTTCATGTACAACCCTCAATCATATGCTGGCTCCCTTGATTGGCACAGTGTTAAATAGATGACCACAGCCCTGGGATAATGAGTAGGGTTACAGTGTTGTGTCTTCGTCTTTTATTGTGACTCCTTTACTTGATTGTCTTCCCTAAATCATTCCAGTACCCATTTCTTTTTTTTCAGATTTTTTTTTGTCTTAACATGATCTTTAACATTTAGAAAAGACCTGAAAATTAACACCACCAATCTTAAGCCACCCTCCTCTACACCCTGTCCATAATGATTAGATATACATTGCTTGAGGGATGAACACAATCTATCAAGAAGATGTTTATTTATTCTGTGTTTTGATAATTGCTGTGGAGAGCTACAAAATTAGAATACAAAGATATTCACCGGGGTAGAGATCTGGTGACTGTGGAGGCCACGGCATACAATTCATATCATTGTTATACCCATCAACCCATTCAGTGACCCCTCCAGAGCATCTGTATTCATTATGTTTCCCTACTCATTCATTCAGCTTTTTTAAATTTAACATGTCATCTGTTCATATATTGATTACTCTGCATCATGCCAAGGTGTAAAAATAATTTACATGACTCACATCATCAGCAGGATAACAGAGTGGATGACCCTTAATCCCTGGCGACATCAAGAGCATTAACCACACTCCTAACGACAATCTGCAAACTGCAAAATTAGTTGACCCCTTGTGGTTTGGTGTGCACATTTTAGGGATAACTACGTGACAAGAATTGTTGACAGCGTGTTGCAGAGTCCAGCTCTGGTTGGCCATGCACACTGTAAAAAGACAGCACATGTTATAACTTAAAAATATGTAAGTATTAAGTTAACTGAATTTGAGAAGACAAGTCAAATCTTTACAGAATTACCTCAACGTGCCTTAAAGCTCAGTCAACTTTAAATTGATAAGTTAAGGTAATTTTGTAATAATTCAACATGTCTTCTCAAATGTAGTCAACTCGAAATTTTAAGGCAGCAAATCTAAACCACGATTCTTTAAACAGTGTATGTAACTAGTGCCCCCTACTGACAATAAAGCAGACATACATTGTAGAGGAGTATTTATCAACCACTTACCTTACTAGCAAATTACCTACTGACACTTCTCTTGGTTTTCTAGAGTAGGAGTCATGCCTTACTTCACTCTACGATATTCTTTATGTTGCACCTGAAGAATGGCTCCCTCTGTGATGTCTGCCTGCAGAGCTTCCTGTCGCCAAAACATGAGCGGGACCTTCCTCGGCTGGCTTCTTCACCACCATAGCTCATCTGTGACAGGGGCCTCAGAGAGGCAGTGAGCTGACACATTTGTCCTCCCGGCTCTAGTCCCCTCTGACTAAGTTTAAATCTAAGTCTAAACACACAAGCAGGAGGATGGATGACAGCCTGAGTCTCCAGGATCAATTTGCCACAAATTAGATACAGTAACGGTTCATTTCTCCACATAAATAGCTGCATCTACAGGGACTATTTTGGAAATCTGCTTGCTTTCACCCTGGAAATCTGTGTCTGCTCTCTGCTCCATCCCTGCCTGCTTTCCTCTGTTAAT